ATATATATATATATATATATATTGTCATGGTGGGTTTGATACTCTTTGCCCACATGCAGAAACACCCGCGGAGAGACTAGTGAAAAGTCCAAAGGTTTATTAAACACAAAACTCAGTTAAACAGATTTGTCAGGTCCTCCTCCACGACAAAGGGATCCGGGTGCTACCGCTCACTGTATGAGAAAGAGATGATGAGTCTTGGGTGATGACAGGTGTACGGCTCAGGGAAAATGAATCAGGAGATCTTACTTTAGGTGGTGTAGATTTGGATAGGAGAGGGCAAAGTCAGGCATCAGGCGGTGGGTATTCAGAGAGTGTAGGAGGGCGGAACAGGCAAGTCCAGACAGCACATATATCCTGGAGGTGGGAAACTCGAGATCTCCTGGAAAGCTCTGAAGGCGTCCTGGAAAAAGGATCACAGAGATACGTTAGGTCGCTAGAATACTCGAAGGAACAACTATTGAAACTCAGCGTGACTTCTGAGGGCTTGGTGTACCAGTCAAGGCAAACACTCTGGCGAAGACGTGCTGGCAGCCAGCTGCTTATATACACCTCCAGGAGAAGGCAATTCCCTACAGGTGTGTCTGATTAGGGCCTGCCGGCATGCCGGCATGCCTCCAGGAACCTGCTGTCATCTGGCGCCCTCTGGTGGATGATCTGTAAAGGAAAATGGCAGACCCACCAGCCTGGTACCTAACATCCTCCTCCAGAGGTGTGGTTTGGGTATGGCCCAGCTCCCGAACCTAAGTTAACACATTAACTCCATTTGTCTGTTGCGGCAAGACAAATTAACATCTTTAGTCAATGCATATAAAAAACTGACTCCGACCCTAAACCTGACCTAAATTCAAGTCACTATTTACTCCTCAACCAAACCCTCGACTCAAAGACAGCATCTCTTATGGGGACTTACAAGGTGAGAAATCCTAAAACACACACACATATATTCACATAGAAAGGGACATGTGCTCAAGGACCATCCTGCAACAATGAGTATCAGTTTTTGACTGCGAATAATTATAAATAATTAATTAGGAAAATTATGAATAAAATAGAAATTTTGATTAAAATTACCAAGGGAAAAATAAGCAAATACAGACCCATTCACTAAATTAGAATATTATTGAAAAGTCCATTTGTTTCAGAAGTTTTATCACAAAAACATGTTATATAGAATAATTGCACACATATGAATTTTTTAAAGCATTTATTACAGTTAATTATGATTATTTTCAACATACAAGTAATACAAACCTAACATTGAAAATTGGAATAACACAGTAAACCAATAAAAAATATATTTTAAAACAGAAGTACAGGTTTAATGAAAAGTGTGTTTAATACCTGCTTAGATGTTATTTTAAAAAAAGTACTTGTAATCTGAAAACCGAGCCACATTTGGAACCATATTCTAAGTTATCGAATTAGCTTATAAACACCTGTCCTATAAGGCATAGGTATTAAAATAACAATAGTTAAATTCACAATTTCTCTTAGCTTAACTACCTAATTAAAAATATGAAAATGAACTGTATAGATGTTTAATAATTACTGCCTTTAAAATGTCCCAACAGCTCTCTGGTTCAGGCTTACACATCCCAAGACACCAATGATTGGACGGTAAGAAACATCTCAAAGCTGAACATTTCAGAATATTTTCAATGCAGCCCTGAGTTTTGAAAACACAACCCTGATAAAAACCTTGCTGTTTAATTTTCTTTCATCATTTCATTTCAGTTCATATGTGCTCTTCCAAGAATTTTATTATCTTTTTAGTTTGCATTCAGTTAGAACTGAAGTGATTAGAATAGTGATAGAAAAAAATGGCTTCTTGTTTAACACCATATAAACTACATGTGTTGTCTGAATTTCATCAGGGTGGCTTGGAAATTGAAAAGTTTTTGCTTGACAACTTCGATGTGGGAGGAACCGGCTCCAATACCTACAAGTTTGTTTCACAAAAGATCAAAGAGGATCGCTACACTTTCAGCATACACAGTGTCACCTGCAGTCATTATGGGTAGGATGGAAATTAGACTTTTTTCATTAAGTTCGGACAGGCCATGGTTTTTTAAATAATTGTCTCATTTTGTCTTGATGTCTAGATTTATAT